CCCCCCCCCCCTGTCGTCCTGGTCGAATTATCCACCATGATAACACTCCTGAGCCCACAATTTAAAAAATTCGGGAAAATACGGCTCGGGTCTAAGCTGTTGTTGGGCTTTATTTACGGCTTGAGCTTTCAGATTCAAGCTGCATCTAATTTTCCACAGAGTTGAGTTAAAAAACCGGTTTAATATTCTATTTGGCGGATTTTCCTGGTAGGAATTGGCGCATTCCGGGTTTTATGAAAGCAAGGCTCAACACTGAACCCTTATTTTTCACTAAAACCAACCAAGGTCGGTTTTATTTTCATTGAGCCTAACTCCTAAAGTCGAGCCGAAGATCTTGCAGCTGTCAATCACGTGACACAAGCTGTCGTCAGAGTTGGATTTAAGATTTGGTCTTAAAGTCGGGTTTAAGGAAATACGGCTCGAGCCGAAGCTTTTAAATTGCGGGCTCTGGAGAGGGATCTACGTATTTCTAAAGTGCAGTGGGGATCCCGGTGGTAGATGAAATTCTTTTGGATATCTTAAACAACGATTTGGAAAGGACCAGCTTACGATTTCAAAATTGTTAACACTAAGTCCAGAAATTTTCGTCTCCAAAACTCCGAAAGAAATACAGGAGGATCTGGGAGAAGGGTTACAACACTTTTCTAAGGTAGATATATTAATGAGATTATTTCAACTTCTAATTAATTGTCTATTTTTAGTTCTTTCCTGATGGAGTTGAGGAGATTTTTTGGGAAATCCCGATTTAACAGAAGTTCATCAAAAGAAAGGAATAATTGCATTCATCTTTTCAATTAAAATTTAACATAAAATTCCAATACAAAAAATGAAAAACTGATGTTTTTTTAGATTTTTGAATGTTTTGATATTAACAGATGGCATCTGTAACCCTGTCGAATATTAAAGAACTCCTGGGAATAACCCAAAAAATATTTCCGGAAATCAGTCATCTAATACAGATTATACTGCCTTATCCTGTTACAAGCTGCGGTGGGAGAGGAGTTTTAGCCTACTCCGTAGGGACCTGGAACAGGTTCTCTATGAACCCTGACAGGTTGGTCAACCTGGGACGGATGCCAATACATCCCAACGGATGTTAACGTTTTCATTTTTCAGAAAAACGATCGTTTCGTTATGAAAACGACGACGAAAAATCGAAAACGAAACGATCGTTTTTAAAAACGATCGTTTTTTTTTAAAAAGTTCGTTTTTTAAAAATGGTCGTTTTTAAAACGATCGTTTTTCAAAACGCTCGTTTTTAAAAACGATCGTTTTTCAAAATGATCGTTTTTATAAAATTCGTCGTTTCGTTAACGATCCTTAACGACGACACTTTGTTAACGATCGTTAACGACGGACCTTCGTTAACGATCGTTAATGACGACCCTTGGTTAACGATCGTTAACGACAACCATCGTTAACAATCGTTAACGACGACCCTTCGTTAACGATCGTTAACGAAGACCCTTCGNCCCTTGATTTTCAACAAAATTTTTTTTAAAAAACGATCGTTTTTTAAAAAACAATCGTATAAAAAACGGTCGCAAATCGTTTTAATAAAAACGATCGTTTACAAAAACGATCGCTATTCGTTTTCTAAAAGTTCAAAACGAGTGGGTCGTTTTTAAAAACGATCGTTTTTTTCCGAAAACGAAACGATCGTTTTTGAAAACGAAACAAAAAACGATCGTTTAACGATCGTTTAACGATCGTTTTCAAAAACGATTAACAACCCTAATCCCAAGAGGCTTGCCTCAATTTCATACATTAGTGGCCCAAGAAAACTAGTTTATCGTAGACTAGGAGAAGGGAGGATTTTTTTATTTACTTTCAGCCTTCTTATGGTATCCTTTCATTTTTAACTCTAAAATTAACATAGAAAAATTAGCATGATTTAAGAAGCATTACTTACTAAAAGAGAAAGAATAATAGCAGAAAAATAAAAATAATTCTCCGCTTCCTTAGACTAACATGATTGATATGAAGGGCTGGGCATGTTCCGACTTTTTTGAAATCTTTCCGTTCCGTTCTAGAACGAGGGCCTTCAGCTAAATCGTTCCGTTTTCGTTCCTCTTTTTTATCGTTCCATTCTCGTTCTGTTCCGTCCCATTCCGTTCTGCTCTGAGTAGAAGAACGGTCTTCCTGTTCCGTTCTGTTCTTGGCGTTCTTAGTTGAAGAAGGGTTGCATCCCTCTTGTTCTGTTCTTAATCAAGAACGTTTCCATCCCCGTTCCATTCTTAGTAACCAACAATTCTATCCAAGACAAAAGTTTTATAGCAAAGAGTTGGTTAAAAAGAAAAAAAATTACGATTTTTTAATAAAAAGTTCCCCACGGCTGTAAATAATACTTCAAATTATATATTTTAAATTTAGAGTAAGAATAAGCTTAGATAATTTCTGGGCTGAGCAATGTATAATTTTGTGAGAGCAGGGGGAGGGGCGGGAGTGCTAATATCCTTAATATGTACGATATACAGAAGTTAAACTGAAACCTGCTGTGTATTTTGAATGTTGTCAGTTTAGCAGAGACCCAGGAAGGGAGGGGGGATGGCAGGTTTAACTGAGAACAAGTTCTAGATAATTTAAGAACGTGTTAACATTTTAACCGTTCTTTTCAAGCAATTCCCGTTCCATTCCGTTTTGTTCTTTTACTAATCGTTCCAATGTTTATAAGAACGCGTTCTAACCATTCGTTTTTTTTTGGAACAATGGGATCGTTCCATTCGTTCCCGGAAAAGAACGATCGTTCCACCAGGAACGCGCCCAGCCCTATTGATATGTTATGTTAAATTGTTATATTGTTTTGGTTTCACTTAGATACCATTTTTGCTAATTAAAAAGCAATTCTGCACTGGATTCTTTTTTCACAATGTATTCTCGACATTTTTTACATGCTCATCATAACTTTTCTTGAATATTTTTAATGATTTAGACTCCTTTATATAGTCCGGCAAACTATTCCATGGGTTTATCACTCTCACAGAAAAAGAGTTAAAATGTATGTATATGTAAATATACAGTGTACCTAGGGTTTCCACCAGAATTCCGGGTTACGGTTTACATACGAAAATGATCCGGAAATTTTTTTTCCCGTAAACCAAAAATTTTACACCCCCCCCCCCCCACAGAAGTTTTTTCACCTAGCACTCTCATTTTTGACGCTCTCATAGTGCAATTTTGTGACTGTAAATGAATAGAAATTTAAAGGATTTTTTGTAAACAAAAAATTTAAAATAGCCCATAATTTGTTTGTGACTGAAGCTACACATCTAAAAACTATATCTTTTAAAAGCCCTTGAAAAATAAATGTAGAAACATGGGTCACACTTTGATATTTGTTAAAAACAAAAAAAATATTTTTCTCATTTTTCTGAACCTTTTTTTGGCATTTTTTTCAACCCTCCCTAGCACCCAAATCAAACAACCTAAGTTATTGGTCTAATTTTTTCTTCAATGAGCTGGCCTTGAAAAATTTGGCTATGAACATGCATTTCAACCCTATACCTTTTCTCTAAGGCCTTTTTCTAGGGGGGCTTAGGCTATACATAGATTCAGACCCCCAACCTTTATAGGGTTAAGGTAAAGGGAAAACCAAACAGTGGAATAGTCTTGAATATTGATGAACTGTAGTTGTAGACCAGCAGTAGCTGACTTTTAAACTTTGTAAATATGAATTAACCCTATTCCCGCTGGGGGGGGGTCAATTTGACCCCCCCTGTAGTTTTTTTTACATAACTCAAAAAGTATTGGTCTGAGGCTGTTGAAATTTTCTGACTTTTCTTACATACCCAAAGCCCTCCCTTTAGGCCTAAAACCGGGCTTTAATACTAACTGCCTGAGTCCTCAGGCACACTGCCTGAATGACTGCTTTTGCCTGTAGCAAACTAAATCTTTGTTTTGACCCACTTTCACTTGTCAGATTTTGATAAAATTTAGCTTTTTGGAAAGCCTATGACATAAGGAAACGGATTGCACAAGTTTTGCGAAAAAAAAATTGCAAATTTTTTGCAAACAACCTGTCAAAGGAAATTTGCACATTTTTAGTTTTTCTTGATTAAAAATCAGGTTATTTAAAATTTTGCAAAAATTTTTGCATATTTAAAATGGCATGGTCAAGGGCTTTTCAAAAATGTATAATTTGTCATTTTTTGGACAAATTTTTTTTTGCAAACATTTTTACTATAAAACTGGATTTTGCGATAAAAAATTCAATTTTCGCAAATTTGCTAATTTTTTTGCAGATTCTAAAAGTAGAGCACAAGAGCTTTCTAATAATGTATCATTTGTCATATTTGGACATAAAACATGGGATTTAGAGGGGGGGGTCAAATTGACCCCCCCCCAGCGTATCCTGGTTTTCAAGTACCCCAGCGGAGATAGGGTTAAATTAAAATAAAAAAATTCTTTAAGCTCTGCAAGTCGTCTTTTGTATTCACCTTACATTCCGTAAACCAGAACTTTTCTGGTTTACGAAATGGAAACTGGAAATTTTACGGTTTACGTTACGTAAACCAGAAAAATTTCCGGTTTATGAAATGGAAACTGGAATTTTTATGGTATACATTACGTGAACCGGAAATTTTACGGTTTCCATTACGTAAATGGAAAAATTCCAGTTTCCATGTTTTAAACCAGAAATTTTTCCGGTTTATGTGTCTTAAACCGTAAACATTCCGGTTTCCATTTGATCCGGAAATATCCCGGATGTCCGGTTTACGCAACAAATTTCCGGATCATTCCATTTCCAAAATGGAAAAATTTTGCGGGAAAAATGGAAACCCTAAGTGTACCATTATAAAGTTCAGCAATGTATAATATTTTTTAGATAAATAAATGGATTATAAAGGCATTTTTCCTACCCTGTAATAAAAGGTAAAAGAAGCTGTAATTTTAGTAAATAGAATTTTTAGCTTTTAATTTGTTGGATAACATTACAGGGAGGGGGGGTACAGGGTGGGTAAAATCAATATAGGTGGGATAAAAAAAAATTTTACTCCCCCCCCCTGTCTTAAATCCTGAAACCGCCTATGGGTGGTTGCATGCCCACACAGAATCACAGGTTTTGTTAAGGGCGGAGTCATGATACCAGAGTTACCGTTTGGGAGAAAAAGAAACCCATTCTAATAAGCATGATTTTAAGAAAAACACTAACATATAATCATGTATATCATTTAATGAAAATAGGAATTTCATAAAAATAGTTGGCTTAGAAATCTTTTTGATTTTCTGTCAGAAAAATTAACTTTTTTTACTTTAAATAACATATTTTTTATTTATATTATTATTACAATACATATATGTGAAAAACTTTAAAAAAAAATAGTTTAAGATTTGCCTAATGAAACAGGGCAGATATTGTTGAATAATTGAATAAATGAAATACAGTGATAACTAGAAAACTGTGGAATAGGAAGTTGACTTTTAGACTCAAGTTAATAGATAACACTGCTGAAAATAGACCATCAGGTTTCTAATCAAAACCCCCAAACTTTTCATTTAAAATATATTAATTAATTATAATTTGCTTTGAAATCAACTTTATTATAATAATACTACCAAGCAATGTTTTTTTTATTATTCTCTTTGGTATTACAGAGCTTAACAAATTATGGAAGAAGACATTTAAAACTATTCACCAACTGTCATGTTTCCTGGGACACCCTGTATCTTTAGCTTCAAGTCTTGATTAAGCTGATTCTGTTTTTTGCGATATTTTTTTACTGTTAATGGCACGTTTTAGCAAAAATACAAAGCCATAAGCGAACTGTATGACTCAGGGGCGGATATAAGGATTCTGTAGGGGATTTATTCACATTTATTCAATAATTTATTTTTCAATTTGCCACTACCCTCACTACCTCCGACTTTTTAAAATCTATATATCAACATTTTTTTCAAGAAATTCTTTTTTTTATTTCAAACTACCCTCCTCACTACCACCGACTTGTTGAAACTTTTTTATCAACATTTATTCAATAATTTATTTTTCAATTCCCAACTACCCTCACTACCTCTTTTTTTTTAGAATCTATATATCAACAGTTTTTTCAAGAATTTATTTTTCAATTCCCCACTACCCTCACTACAACCGAAAAGTTTAAACTTTTTTATCAACATTTACTCAATAATTTATTTTTCAATTCCCCACTACCCTCACTACCTCTGACTTTTTAAAATCTATATATCAACATTTTTTTTCAAACTTTTTTTTTTATTTTAAACTACCCTCACTACCACCGACTTGTTGAAACTTTTTTATCAACATTTATTCCATAATTTATTTTTCAATTCCCCACTACCCTCACTACCACTGACAAGTTGAAACTTTTTTTTCAACATTTATTCCATAATTTATTTTTCAATTCCCCACTACCCTCACTACCACGGACAAGTTAAACTTTTTTATCAACATTTATTCAAAAATTTATTTTTCAATTCCCCACTACCCTCACTACCTCTGACTTTTTAAAATCTCTTTTCAACATTTTTTCTAGAATTTGTTTTTTATTTCAAACTACCCTCACTACCACTGGGCACTGACTTGTTGAAACTTTTTTATCAACATTTATTCAAGAATTTATTTTTCAATTCCCCACTACCCTCACTACCTAAGACTTTTTAAAATCTGTATATCAACATTTTTTTCAAGAATTTTTTTTATTTTAAACTACCCTCACTACCACTGACTTGTTGAAACTTTTTTATCAACATGTTATTCAAGAATTTTTTTTCAATTCCCCACTACCACTACCCTGAGTTCTACCCTTTATATACAAATCAATACACATCTTTATTTTTAAAATTTAAATTATTACTACTTTAACTACCTTCTATTTACCTGACATAAAGATAATGTGAAAAATAAGGCATTTTATACATACAGGGGGGCACCCCCCCCCCCCCTTTAGTGACACCCACTCTGTAAAATTACAAAGGCAAGGGCAGCTGGCCTCTTAATCTTATAAGGTCTTGGGGGACGGTTTTTATATTATATACACTATATATATACAAATCCAGTATATTCCAGAAATTGCGCAGTTTTTAATGTTTGAAGTTTCAGTTTGCTCAGTAAAACAAACCCACTCACTGCAGAGGATGAGGAAAAAAGTATTTTATATCAGGTAATATATTATCTATTTAAAGCTGTTTGTCTGTATATGTTAGTGAATCAAATGATAACATGAACCCCTTTACAAATCCAAACTAGGGGAGTTACAAGCTTGACAATCTTACCAATTATGTCACATATTTCTTCTGTTTACACATATGAAAATAAATTTCTAATTCGGAAAAAAGTCTAAAGTTAAAGTTAACATACAAAAATTACAGGTTGACAAGAATAATAAAAATAATAATTTTTAAATTGCTTTCTAACCCTTAAATATAAAATGTAATTTACATTTCTTATATTTAGCCTTCTGCTGATGAGCTCTAAAAGTTCAGGAGAGCCTTCACTTTTTCTCAAGGTTATAATTATCATCATCATCATCATCATCATCATCCTCATCATCAACATCATCATCATCAAAATTATCATCATCATCATCATCATCAGTATCATCATCCTCATCATCAGCATCATCTTCATCATCATCATCATCATCATCATCATCATCATCAGAATCAGAATCATCAATAATCATCATAGTCTTCATCATAATTATGCAATTCTTGGATTTTAACTTGATTTTTAAAAATTTTAATACATATAATCTTTAAACAGTGAAAAATTAAACAAATCCAATAATATGTAAATATGTGTAAAACTATTGCATATTCCATAGAAAGCTTAGACTTGTTATGTGTATAATTTAGTTTAATATATCCATTTATTTCATTATGTTTTTTATGTTTTATTTAATCTTTTTCTATTTATATAGGTATATCATTAGGGCTAAATTTATAATGGTCTCAGACCATTGAGTCCTCTACAGAATTAAAAAAACAGACACACTAGATATAGGAATATGTTAATCTCAGTCACAGAACAAAACAATGTCACTTTAAAAACTTAAAAAATGTTTTATTTTAATGAGATATGGAAAGATAAAGCTATACTTATACATGGGGCGGAATTAATACATAGATTTATTTGTACTTTATCTTGCAAAATATATGTGTACTTTATCTAGCAAAATACATTTGTACTTTATCTGGCAAAATATATTTGTACTTTATCTGGCAAAATATATTTGTACTTTATCTGGCAAAATATATTTGTACTTTATCTGGTAAAATATTTGTACTTTATCTGGCAAAATATATTTGTACTTTATCTGGCAAAATATATTTGTACTTTATCTGGCAAAATATATTTTTACTTTATCTGGTAAAATATATGTACTTTATCTGGCAAACTATATTTGTACTTTATCTGGCAAAATATATTTGTACTTTATCTGGCAAAATATATTTGTAAATGTACTTTAACTGGCAAAATATATTTCTACCTTTATGTATCATTGTTAACACAAATTTGAAATATAAGGAAGACGATTTTACCAACTCAGAGGCCGTTAACTATTCTCAAGACGTGTGTATCTGTTTCAGCCATGAAGCACTCACATGTCACCCTCGCTCCTTCGTTCCCCCCTCACCCCTTTACACATCCCAGCCCGGCAGTCAGCCTGAAACACTCAAGACGATCACAACTCCGTCTCAACCTGATTCCTTCATGATGGTGATTCAGATACAGAGATAGATGCAGACTCTGCTTACATCTAGCCCCACAATGCTCCAGAGATCAACATTATCATGCATCACAGAGACAACATAATCGCTCAATGCACACGATAAAGCTGCGATATCTCTCCCATAGCCTGAAACCTGGTTGTGAGCAAACCTGCTGTGATTGAAGATCTGCACCACCAACATGAAGCTCCACAAATATGTTCCAACTGATGTTCGTCAATAGTTTTCTTTGTTCATTTTTAACCAACCAATTTTACTCAACCTTATGCAAATATTTCAAAGCTTTCGTTTTTTAAATAAATGTCAGAAATATCCATTTCAGATATCTTTGTTTTATTATAGTGACTTTTAAAGTCAACAATCATACATATTACTTTTCAAGGGAGGGTTACTTGAAATCCCATATACAATCCCTTTACTAAAAATTTATTTAGAAAAAAGTAACCCAAGGAGTTGGATGTACAAGTATTCAACAAACTACCAGTTTAATGGAATGCAAGGTATCAAATTAAATTTTTTTTTTAATTACGCCCATTCCCCCCCCCCTAGATTTTTTTGGGTGAAAGGTTGTCAATATAAGGTTTAATGTAACATAAATTCATCGCTAAATTTTGTCCATTTTTATATGAAAAGTTGCGCAAACGTATGAAAATGTTTAATTTCAGCTAAAACAAGGTTTAATGTAAGATAAATGTTTGCTTAGTCAAATATTAAATATCAAATACAATTCTATAAAGTAAATTTAATTTTCTAAAATCCATTCCACACCAAAACTTTTGTTTGCCTAAGTTCCAAATTATAATGAAAGACAAATATACATAAAGTTTTTCTACTCCGGATAAAAAGTTTATTTACAAATGTTTTAGAATTTATTTTTTTAATATTTTTTATAAAATAAAATGGTATGATGCATAGTTAATTATTTCAATCTTCTTTTCTCCTTTCTCCGTCTTCACATCTGCAAGCTCTCTTTTTCTTGCTTCACTTTGCCCTTCCACTTATGGTGCTGCTTTTAAAAAAATGTTTACCATTCGCAGTCATTGTGCCATTATATGACAGTGCACGATCACCCTTTCAATATGTCCCCCTCTCTGTTGTATGTTTGTTTTGCTTAATTGCAATTGCAGCCTCAGCTCTTCACATTTTGAACTTGCACCCCTTCTTGAACTTCAAGTTAGGTTCTAATTGCGGTGAGGGAACAATAGTGTCCCTACTTTGAACTGCACATTTTTACTTTCCTATAAAAGAAGTGTTGGCATTCCAACAAAGGATAATCAAGTGACCCACTCAATGGTAATTTTGTAGGATCCAACAGAGAAATGTATTCTAGTCTCATTTCACTGTTTATGAGAAGGTTAGATGGTAGGGAAAGGAGAGTAGAGATGAGGATAAGGGTTTGTAGGAGGGTCGTATCAATTGTCCACATGTTATACTGCTTCCCAGACTAGCAAAATTCCTTTACAGGTAGTATCACATTTAGTGTGCACTGTTGCATGCAGAATGCAGAGATGTCCCTTTAAGTTAACTGTGAATTAAGGGCATACTAGAAAGGGCTTGTTTAATTGTACAACAAATAACTAGAAATAACCAGAAATATATTCCTTGTTGCCTAACTTTGAATTTACTTCCTTGTTTATTTACGCAGTAACCTTAAAGAAACATTCATATGATCTTTTTATATAAAGCTTTTAAAACCTTTTCAGGCTGTATTATAGACACATGTTAGGCATTCCTGTATCTAATTTGCTATATAAACAATGTATGTTGTATTATTCTTTACTCTGTGACTAAAGTTAGTGAAATACACATTTGAGTAAGTACATAAGTTTACTTTTTACATAGATTGTATGAGTAGTAAAAAAAGATATTAGAAATAGAACAACTTTTGGTAGCAAATCATTAACAGTTCATGCTTACATAGAAGTCTAAATAAATTAAAGTTTTACTATAAGAATGCCCATCTTTACATGATATGAAAAGAGTAAAGCATAAAACCAGCAGTTTTGGTCAAATACCTAAAAAAGTTATTATTTCTAGTATCTGTTTTAGACTCATTTTATATATATATATATATAAAATTTCGTAATAGCACAGACTCCGATCACTAAGAGGAGTGGGTATGGAACTGGATTAGTTTTAGACATATTAGCTCTTTGTAATTCCTATATCTTGACTTAGTACTCCAGCCGTAAGTGCTGTAGTTATGAAAGGGTGCTAGTTTATTGAGCAAGGGGTTCAGGGCCGCTTGTTGTTCCCTCCCTCCTATGTGTAGACACCTTTCTCATAGTCCACTGCAAATAGTGCAGAGAGCTTTCTGAGCAGAGTTCTGATCTCTTAGACTGTAGGAATACAACTAGTCTGGATAAAAAGTAAAATAATTATAGGTAATCAATCTTATAATTATGCAACTACTTTTTACAACTCTTTCTAATCTATATCTCGCTATATCTCTGTATCTAAAAAACCTATGTATTCAAAGTTGAATTTTGTTTCATAAGTTTCGGCTTGGTTACCAGAAAAAAAAAACTTAGGAGTCAGATCTTAGATAAAGGTTTGTGGTCTGAACTAGATTTATTTACAATCGTACTTAAAACTTTTTTCTTGAAAACTAAAAACTCATGATACATGAATACAAATCCTCCCAGGTAAACATACCAAAAACTTAAAATGAATGTGAGTCAGGCAAAAACTACAGAAGAGCAAAGGAGCAGAAAATAAAGAATACATGAAAACTTCAAACCATAGATAGGGGAAATCTCACACTCTGGCTCAGGGAAAATTTCTCTCACACAACTGAACTAGGGGGGGACGAGGGCCTCTTTATATAGTCCAAGGGGGAGTAGGAGATAATTGGCCTAATTGCTTTGTAAGGGTTCTGATTGGTGAATGAAAGCTACTAGGTATTTTTTAATTGAGATAATTGGGGGTTTAATTGACAAAACAATTTAAGGCAGATCCTTATTGGTGGATCAAAAAACTAGGTACTTATCCACAAATTATTTCATTCAACATTATGAAACAACTACGAATTACAAAAAAATTAAAGTTAGAAAATGATACAATCAAGCATATACAATCTTTTTCAAGTATTAACATTTATATCTATTTTTCCTGGTATGCATCTTCAAAAAGTATAAAGTTATCTCTATTTGTTTATTTGTATGTTCGATCAGAACTCTGGAACCTCCTAACCCATTTGCCTCAAATTTTGATTGAGAAATTCAGAAGAACCATGGCAGTGTTATTAGCTTGGTTTAAAGGTCTAAATGGAATAGGTTGATTCTTATAAAGTAAGCTTAGTTTCAAGGAAAAGCTTAGCTCCCATCTTTTATTAATTTTATCTTTTGATTGTGGTTTAATCTGTTAGCATTGTCTCTTTGTACAGTCTAAAACAATAAGAAACATAAAAGTTCATAGATTTTCAAATAATTTTGCATTTTACAAAACTCAAAAACTTTTGAACATACATTTTTTGTAGCTTTGTGTGCATTCATAAACCTTCCCTGGGGTTATGTGAGGTCCCACAAGGAGAGGATGAAGACTTTTGCCAACTCCCCACAGTGGAAGGATGGACAACCTAAGAAGCAGTAAGTCCCAAGGAATGGAAACTGCTTGGTTGGATTGGAGCTGTGGGAAAACAACATGTTGCTGCAGGAGATATGTTGCCGGAGGAGATATATTGACAGAGGAGATATGTTACTGGAGGGGATACATAAAGGAGGTATCTTGCCAAAGGAGGTATCCAGCCAAAGGAGGTATTCAGGCAAAAAGAGGAGAACCTTAAGTTTAGTTTAGTTTAGTTTAGTATTTGTTTCACTTTCAATATAAATGTTCAACTTTTTTATTTTTTTATTGGTGCGTGACTACTAGAATATTGATCCCCCCTTTTGGGTGGTTCCTTTCATATTTACCAATTCTACATTTCTATCTGGGCCCGATCAGTTCATCCCTTTGTTGTTTTTAGGACACAAACAAACAAACAAGCAGACAGACAAGCAAAATATTCATAGATTTAAATTTATTTTGTAGTAAAAAATAATTGACACCAGAGCAAAAGGTTGCATTTACAGGGTTAGTGGGTACTAAACCTGGCGTCAAGAAAGTAATAAAAAAATTATTTAATTTGTTCAAATTTAGATGCTGTGCACCATGGACTCAGTCTGTAAAGCCTTCAATCATGGAAATGTAAATATATGTTTTAACCATGGGGTAGGAAAGAGAAAGATTGGGATGTGGATGGGAGAAATAAGAGGAGATTGATGTGAGAAAGGGGGGATATGAAAAGGAGGGGAAGGACATGTCAGTCTGGAGGGGAGTGAGTCTTTGTCACAAACTTAATAATTATAGTCCCTACATCTCTGCAACCTTTGATATTTAAAACTTAAGTTATTTAATTTTAAAGAATTCATAATTTGATATATCTAAGGTCTACAAAATTGGAAATTAACCAAATATATTAGGATTTGAAGTACTAAAAATGTATAAAAATTAATTGTAAATGATTTATAGGAGAAGTGTGAATTGTGTCCTGATGAATTATCAAATGGATATAAGGATATAGGGCTGAACACTGATGGAATGTAAGCTAACAATAATCTTAGTGATTCAATCCAACATTTTATTGTTAATTGATTGTAGTTAAATATTAATTTATTATTAAAAGAGGGAAAACAAAAACATTTTACAAGATAAAACAAATTCTTTGAATTTAAGTTTGTACTAAAAATCCCGAATTATAAAGTTGTTGAGCTTTATTTGGTTCATTTTTCAAAAATACCAAATTGCCCTGTCATGCTTTAGTTACGCGAGATGTCAGTAATTTGAGATTTTTTAAAAAATTTCAAAAGATGTTTATTGAATCGGATGAAAAATTGGACTCATATTGTTTTGTTGAACATAACTGTAAATTTTGAAGGTTTAAAAACTCCTAAGATTGGCAGTTTTTATTGACTCAAAGAAGTTCATAGTAGGATTTTGATTCTACTAGAGACCACCGGAGGGATTTTATTTTCACTGGAGGGGTTTCAAAAAATGCTTTTTACAATTTAAAACTTTGCGCAGGGTGATTTACATTCAACTGGAGGGATTCAGATGTCCTTCCTGGGGGGTTATAATTCCACTGGAGGATTCAGTTATCCTTCCTGAGGGGGTTATAATTCCGCTGGAGGGATTCAGTTATCCTCTCTAGGGATTATTATTCCACTGGAGGGATTCAGATATCTTTCCAAGGGGTTTATAATTCCACTGGAGGGATTCAGATATCCTTCCTGGG